CCAGCACTTAGATGCTTGCACAAGTACTCGTTATTGTAGTTGGCCTCATGGAAACAAGTGCCCATATCTTCTTCCAGAAAACCGTTTTACAGATATGGAGGACAGATTTGAGTTTCCCATACCCAACTTGTTATTACGGTGTATATCTTGTTTTGAATGGCCACTTCGAGTGAAAAGCATTCGTATCGAATTTGCAACAAGTCTTGGAATAAGTATTTTTTAGTTGTGCAATAGAGCGCAACTTAAAGGCGATGCAAAGGTTCTGACTAAGAACATCTTTAAGGAAAAGCTAAAAGTGGAAGAACAATAAGCACAGACTATATAACAAGTTCAAAAGAAATTACTTTTGTAGTGACCCAGCAACGTTGTCAAGAATTTCCATGTCCCTCTGACATTCACTATTTTCACTTTATAAAACACTCGTGGAGGGTACCTACCCAGTACAATTGCGCAAGTCACAATTTGCTAATATGGCAAAGTTAATAGACCTCATTTGTCCTAATTGCATTTGAAGCAAATACAAAGTGTACTACCATCCGCAGATCAAAGCGGATTAATCCCGAAGTTGAAAATATGGATCTGGGACCAAAACACAGCAACAAGTAACGTGCTAAAAAAAGTTCTAAGAAATTTAAGCATAGGAACCCGGAGTTGATGCAATTATGAACGTATATCCTTAAGTGAGGCCATATTAAGCCTTAAGGTCATTTGCTTGAAGTTTCGAAGATTTCCAACTTCTCTAAACATTGCTGCTACGAGAGGGGAATCACCATTCTCTAGTCCTCTGAGTACTGCTCTGTAAGATTTCGGCAGTAGTAATGGTGTCCTTTGAACTTAGCACCTTACCTGGTTTCTGCAGAGAATTCTTTCGCAAAGAAAAATAACACTTCCGCAAGAGATTCAACGGTTGCGCGAATAAGTTCCATTTGTATCCGAATAAAAATAGTCTAAATGTAGACTTGAGCCTCTTTGGGAGATCTATCTAGTGAACCTACTTTTACAAGCTCAGGTCCATGACTGGCGAGCAGAAGTCTTGGCGCTTCGTCACCGTAGGAGGTGCAATGACTTGCAATGACTGCTAAAACCTGCGATGCCAAGCGAACAACGCATGGTTCTCGTGA